GCAAACTAGCAATAATGATATATGAAAATCAATAACAAATTGCTAGAGAATAGAGTTTGAGAAACTTCTCTATTAAACACAATAGAGGTTGGAGATGATTGAGGATGGATTCCCCAATTGAAAGATCAAGCCACCTCTTATAAACACAAACTTAATCACTTGAATAAACTTTAAAACTCTTTTTAAACTCTTGTTAAAACCCACTTCAAAAGATATGTCTTGCTGATGAGAAGTTAGAGGTTTATATAGGAAGAGAAAACAGCAGCCAAAAACCCAAGCAAATCAGCAAAAATCTCCCAAAAACCAAGAAACAGATTCTGTACAAAATTAGCCGTTGGACAACCTGTCAGTCGAGCTTATCAGTCGATTGGTCAGTCGGCGGAAACACAACAGAGAGAAAAATAAATATTCCATGCACTTTCTTCAGTCAACTCATCAGGCGACTGATGTCATCAGTCGACTGATCAGTCGACTAATAACAGGCTTTCAGCCTGAACTGATTTTTAAGTTGAATTTCAAGGCTCTGTTAAAAATAACAAATAAAATCCAAAAAATGTAAAACTTTGGGAAATGTTTATAAACATGAATATGAATATGTTGGAAAAAGAATTTTTCAAATAGCTTTTACCAATTGTGAAAACACAGGAAAATTCAATAATGCTAAAATATATAGTTTTCAAACATGTTAGATTTTGCTATTTTGGATCAAATCTGGTTTTGAAAGCTTGTGTAACCTTTAAATGGACTTAACAAATAATGTTAACATGGTTGATATAGTCCAAAACATATTTGAATGTAATTTGCATAAAAACACCTATTTTCATGAAAATTCACAAATGAATTATGTGTGCAAACTTGAGCTTATAGAATTAATCACACACAATATTATCCTATACTAAGTATACCCAAAATAATCTTGATCTTCAATGTGGCTTGACTTGGTATACTAGCGGATGAAGCTTGAACTTGAATCTTCAACTGAATTGTGTTGGCTTCACCCACTATTCCTCCATCCTCCATTGAATATGACCGTTGAAGCGCAATTTCATCCATCCTCCAACTAGTTGCTTGCCTAGAATAAATACAAAAATACAAATACTAGACAACAACATTAGTGATAAATTGTTTGTTAAACATTATCAAAACAAGAAGGGCAACAATCTCCCCCTTTTTGATAATGACAAACAATTTTCTAAAAGATATATGTATGAATATATAGATTATAAATCATATGCATATAATGTGTATACTCACAACATTTCATTTCTCTCACAATACTTCTCCCCCTTTGACAACATCAAAAAGGGGGGAAACAAGAGAGTGAAAGCTCCTCCTACCTATAAGCATTGGTGAGTAATAAATATAGGGTTTCTCCCCCTATTAAAAAGCCTGAAGGAATGGTTTAGCCACAATATATAAGCAGATAAGGACTGTGAAAACATAGTACATTGAGAAGAAATATAGTTCACAAGTTAGCCACAATATATAAGCAGATAAGGACTGTGAAAACATAGTACATTGAGAAGAAATATAGTTCACAACCACATCCACACATGTATCACTGTGAAAACATAGTACATTGAGAAGAAATATAGTTCACAACCACATCCACACATGTATCCATAGGCATAAAAAAAGAACATTACATACATAGCCAAAATGATGAGTTTACCACAACTCATATATGTTCAAGATACAAACCAAGCTAAAAAAACAGACTACATAAACCATACAAATCTATAAGTCATAGTATCATACAAACATAAACCACAGAGATTCACACAAACGACTAAAAACAAAATATTACGATACGATGTTTTTCAAAAGTATAACTAAAATAGAAGTGATAACAATCTATATCATGTAGATGAAGGTCTTGGACCCTGTGAAGGCTTTAGAATGTTGAGGATCTCAGCAAGCTGGTGCCCCAAGCCCTCGACTTGATGTCCCAAGCCATCCACTCTGCCCATCAACTCCTCCTAACGGCGCTCAATCCCACCTAATCGCTCATGTACCCCAGTCATGAACTCGGAAAAAGGATCTGAAGCAGGTGGAGAAAGGCGAGGAGGCCTATATGAGGTATCATAAGATGATGAAGAATCATCGGATGCTACAGGCTCTGGAGGAAGCCCTGGAGAGGGATGCCTCTCAAGTGCAAACTGGGTAGCTGGAATACCCATATGATTTAGAGCGGCGGCTTCGACAAATGATTTAATTTTGATGAAGGGTTCGCCGGAAAGATATATATCAAAGTGTTTAAATATGGTAGTGAGAATGGCCCCGTATGGAACGAATTTAGTGTATTTAGAGGCCTTTAAATCAAAAATGATTTTCCCCCAAAGGATACCCATAGAGCCGATAACTCCATAGATGACACATGCGAGGTCTTGGGAATAATGATCACAACCCCCGGTTTTGGGGATTAAATTATAACTCGGAATCCGCCCAATGACCTTTGCAAGGAAGATAGTGTTGTGGGAGTCGAGAGGAGGTAGGTGACCAGGAAGAAGTACTAATGAAGAAATATCAGGGTTTTCAAAATCTATGTCAGCGAGATAGGTGTCTCCCTAGGAATTCTAAGAATTTTCGCAAGTTCATTTGCGGTGAAAGAGAGATGACGACCCTTGATAACAGATGTGATGATAGGAGCGCGAGGGTCAGTGGAGATAACTTGTAGATCCTCATAGAACAGCTGCACAAGATAGGGATAATATGGGGGTGCCTGCACAAGATAGGGATAATATGGGGGTGCATACATACGCACGTACGCACGTACGCACGTACGCACGTCCGCACGTCCGTACGTACAACGTAGTACGTACGTCGTACGTACGTACGTACGTAGTACGTACGTACGTGAGTAAGTACGTACGTACGTACGTACGTAAGTAAGTACGTACGTACGTACGTACGTAGTATGTAAGTACGTACGTACGTAAGTACGTAAGTACGTACGTAGTACGTACGTACGTACGTAGTACGTACGTACGTACGTAGTACGCACGCACGCACGCACATACATACATACATACATACATACATACTCTTCGAGAAATACTATGCTCCCTGTACCTAATCGAACAAGTCATCAATTCGAGGCAAAGGATATCTATTCCGGATAGTGACTTTGTTCAACTCACGGTAGTCAATATATAATCGCATACTACCATCATTCTTCTTCATGAAAAGGACCGGCGCTCCCCACGGAGAATGACTCCGACGAATAAAGCCCTAAGCTAACAACTCATCCAACTGGGTCCGTAGCTCCCTCATCTTAGCAGGTGCCATGTGATAGGGTGCTCGGGATATCGAGACTGTGCCCGGCTGTAACTCAATACAAAACTCAACCTCTCTCATAGGAGATAACCCAAGTATGTCTTGAAAGACATCCTGGTAATCTGAGACAACTCTAGTCTCGCATATATCAACATTCTGATCCCGAAGCATCACCTCCTCGATGTACGTAAGTAATGACTCTGCAAACTGGTTCCCCTAAGAGGTTGCCACAACTAACTCGGACCCATCGGATGCTCACAAATTGACTGTTTTCGCAAAACAGTCAATACTAACATAGTAGGAAGATAGTCAATCCATACCAAGAATAACATCGAACTTTGACATGTGCAACACTATTAGATTGACAACGAACTCAGACTCGTCTTAACTGATAATACACCTCCTACAAATGCTTTCCAAGAGCGACATCTCACCTAGAGGGGTGAAAACTGACAAAGGAATGTAAAGAGGCTGAGCTACGAGCTGAAGTCTAATCATAAATGCATACGATATGAAAGAATGTGAAGCCCCTAAATCGAAAAGAATACAGTTTGAAAAGGAGTTCACGAGAAACGTACCCTCCACTACGGCCCCGTTCGCATCATGATCACGAGGGACTACCGCATAGACTTTGCTGGTGGCTGGAGGCTGACTACGGCCCCGTTCGCATCATGATCACGAGGGACTACCGCATAGACTTTGCTGGTGGCTGGTGACTGTTGTGCTACTGGCGGTAGAATTTATGGGATTATCTATCCTTCAAGAATTTCCTGGATAGCGCGAATTTGGCCTGTTGGTCTCTCTATCCTCGGAATGGTAGGTGGTATCTCGACCTTCTGCTACTGGCCATAACCGTGGCCCTGCGATTGCTGAACCTGACCACTGATCTGCTGGTGGTGATGAAAATCTTTTTCCTATTGCTAGGTTCCTTCCGGTCTTGCAAAAGGTTTATTGTCCTTGCCCTGGTCTCTGGACAATCCTGCTTCCAAAATTAACTCTTAGTACGTCTCCCTACTTCAATCGGGATAGGTCTAGCTGCTTTTCGAAATAGTAGATGAAATCCTTCTATGAAATTAACATTCGCTACTCCGGCATAACTAAAATCGGTGCTAACAAGTCGATCAAATACTATGGAGCCTGCTGCGACTTGGGCTCTACTTGCCCAGCTCTCCGGGTATAAGCTTTACCTTGACCACATCCTCGTTCCAATGTTTATAATACCTAGAGGAGAGTTTATTTGACATAGTATGTAAGATCCTAATCATAAATAACATAACATATACCAATAGGAAAAAATCGTATCACTTATCATTCATTCAATTACTTTTCAATCAAAGTAAGGTAATTTTCACAAAAAAAATTATAAATTTTTGAATATACGTATATAACATCCTCACTCATTCTAAGATTTCCTAACGTACTCTATACATGATTCCTAGGAAACTCTATCCTAGCTCCACGACTCGACACAGGAATGATCCTAGGATGCTGGAAATAGAGTTCTGATACCAACTGTGACACCCCTGGTTTCAACAAGGCTGCAGTCTAAGGTGAAACCAAGAATGTTAAACTTTCCATGCACTACACCGTGCAATAGCATGTTTCACCATCACAATTACTATCTATCTAGTAGAATTAATAATAGGTGTAGGTACAAAACAGGTTAGAAAAAATATACAGAAGAAATACTAAACGACAGATATTCTGAAGAACTCATCACCACAGAAATAAATAGACCAATCTTTGAGAGAAATAACATTTGACTGAATACAAGTGTCTCGACATAGGAAATCAAATGAAATAATATTTAGGCATATCGCCTTTACAAAACTAGAATGATAACTCAAATATTCATAAACACATCTACTATGGAGTTCTGACATAAACTACTAACAATATAGATAAATAACTACTAGAATAATTCCATCAACCTACGGCTCTCCGTGCACCTGGCTCGTTACCTGAAAGGGGGGAAACAATGAGCGTCAAGCGCTAGCGAGTAATATCTCAACCAACCTCGGGGGGAAGGGCTAGAAGAAAGAAAAATAACTGTTAATACATATAGATAGTCAATCATCTACTCCGAAATAAAATAGTGATTTGATATTTAGAAATTTACAACACGAGCATAAGTACGTCTCCCGTTAGCTCAAATTGTAAATAGCTAAACACCAAATCCCCAAAAAAGCTACATCGTGGAGCAATAAAGAAATATAGCTCCATCTCCAACCATAATATCAATAACCTATCAGATGTCAAATACGTGCACAACTCATGGACTGAAATAGGTAAATGTCCAATACATGAACTGCAAAAGCTTAAAGTCCAATACGAGGTTGTAATGGATTATAGTCTAACACGAGGACTTCAACATGAAAGTAATATTAAAAAAATCAGCATATTTACTACTCACTGTCGTGCCTCGATGAGTGAATCTAAAACTCATGTTCGTAGTCAACTCATATACACAAATCCTAGTGTATTATAATCCCATATAACCTAGGTCAACCGCGAAGAGACAAAAACCTTTTCTACAGGTTTCCGCTCCTCGAGGTTGATCCAAAAGCCATTATATGATGATTCTATATACTACAAATCCTATATACGTGATTTAACATTTCTAGAATATGTAAAAAAAATACAATCTAATCACTATAGACAAAAAGAAACCTTTTAAAACACATGTATGCATGTCGACACGTTTGAAAATAATTATATTTCTTTCAAAACTCTTGTTAGGAAAATTTTCAGATCTAGATCCGTATTAAGAAATTTATGGGTGATCTTTATTAACTGGAAACTTATTCTTTTTGCAACATACAATATAAAGATCTAACTTTATACATAAAATAGCATTTTAGGCTCATAAAACATTAGGAAAACTTTATTAAAAACATTTAGAACATAGGTGTAGGATTGAGCGTGATGAAACTCACCTGAGGGGTGTTGATGAACTACCAAAGACAAGTGAGAACGATCCTCCTTCGCTGAACACCGATGGATCTCACGTCAACTCCTCCAAAATTCTCCAAGAATCGCCAAAGAAAGGGGGTTTAGGGTATAAAAGAGGGTTCTGAGAGCTTCAAAATGGATATATATACTTAGCTATACTCATGGGTTCGGTATAAACAAAACCAACCCGAAACAGACATAATCCTAGCGTCTGCACGCCCAGCAGTTGATCGTATAGAAACATGTACACAAGCTGGGGTTCGGTATATTGGCCATAACTTTCTCGTCCGAACTCCAAATGAGGTGATTTAAGATTTATTGGAAAGATATTGAAGAGATATACAACTTTGACCTTTTACACTTTCTTAGATTCCAATTGCATCAGTGCGTAAAAAATAGAAACTTATAACTAGTCATAAATCTCAGATTTCTCTTTTGGCCTTTGTGCATGACTTGCACATATGCACTCATATATTTACAAATATATATTGAATTGATCTCAAATTAATTCTTATCATATTCAAACATCAAAATATATTAATTTTCACCATATAACATATTTATCATTCTTTATCATAAAATATTCAAATTTTCGGGGTTTTACATATACTTGTAAAAGAAAATTGGGATATCAAACTTTCGATCGCCTCTTTTATCCTCTTAAATTTTGATAACTTCTATACTTAATCTAATCTAATTCCCATATGGTGTCATAGAGTTTGATTGTATGGTTATTTGCTAGAATTCTTTATTTGTATACATATATTCTTCATACGAAAATTTGTAAAGATATTATGGATACAATAATATTATAATACAAAGTTTCATGCATGGCACCATTTGCACAAGGAAATAATAGGAAGTACCCTATAATTTATTATATTTATAATACTTATTATATAAATATTATACTATTTTTATTTTTATAATATATTATAATATTATTTATATAATATTTATATTTGTAATATTTGTAATACTTATTACATAAATATTATAATATTTTGTTTTTTATAATATATTATAACTATGTGTGTGTATGTATGTAATAATAACATATTACATTAATGTATTATCATATAATATTATATATATTGATAAGAATTGGGGATCTAATAGCAATTTTAGTGTTTGATTGCACTAATTTCCAAATACAATATATTCAAGGGATTGATATGAGAAAAACCCCAATATTATATGGTTATATAAAATTTAAATATACTTGGCTGAATTTTTTTGAAAATTATTAAGAAAATATCTTAACCCAAACTTTATAATAATTATTTATTAACAAGATGAAATCTCAAGGTTCATATGAATGTTATAAGATAAAACATAGATGATAAAGATTTATAATTCAAACCATCGAAAGAATATTAAGAGATATATTGGGTGATCAAAGAAACTTCAGTGGAATGATAGTTCATTAGAGGAGATTTCTGTCAAGTCCTATTTGAAACTACATGTACTAAAGAACAAAAGTAATCATTGCAAAAATCTTATGAAATCATATTTCAGGGGGAAATGAAAAATTCTTTCTTAATCTTTATATGAATGTGCTTGCACTAAAATCCCTCGAAGAGTTCTGGCTTCGAGTAGGTATGAAGAAGAGCCTATTATAGATGAGAATTTCATACATATACCGAATGAAAATGTTCATGTGACAATGAGAATAGTTGTGAAAGAAAATTGATTGATGCTATCTGTATATAAAAAGAAGTTCCTTACATCTCTTTTAATCTTTTGCATAAGTACATACTTTCTGCCTTAATGCTCAATCATATGTCAAATCACTGTTCTTGAAATATTTTGAATCAAAATATTATCTAGAATTATTATGCATATAAATTAGAAATAATTATTTATTATTATATTTATTTCTTCCATGATTTTTCTCTTTTTCCATGTTATCTGTAAATATATTATTTTATAGTCAAATATAGAACATAAAATAATCATGTTTGCACCGAATAATGTAATACGCATTACGTGCAATGCATGTATTGCACACTAGTTCTCATAAAAGAACTATTACAAACAACACGTTTAATGCAAATCCGGACGATGCATATCAAATGAGGTTCATTTGTGGACCTTAAATTCAAACAACCATAACCTATTATACGAATGTCTGATTTGAGTGATCCATAGTCTGTGAAAAGCTAGGGATGCCTAATTGAGTGATCAACAGCCTGTGAAAAGCTCCGAGGATGGAATCTTTCTTTTCATACTGTTACAGGTAAGGGTGCATTCGGTCCGCATACGGCTCGGATATGATGCTTATCATATCCATACCCACTTACCTATCTTGGATACGGATACAGATATACCTCGCTAAGGAAAATTTATAACCATATCCGCTAAAATCGGATACGGTTACGGATATACATGCGGATATATAAGCGAATATGGATGCAGATACAAAACAGATATGAGAAAACTACATAGTATTGAGAAAACATAGTTCATGTGATACAAAAAAGTTCGTTAATATCTCCATTATAACTGAAAAGTTAAAATTAGACATCTTGATCATCAAAATTAACCACAAATTCATAATATAAGAATCGAAACTATCGTAAGAGTATGACTAATATGTATTCGGACATTTTGGATATGGATACAGATATTTTACTACAAAACCATATCTGTAACCATATCCTATCAGTTATAGATTTGAGTAATATTCGTATCCTAACGGATACCGTTACGGATATTTCCTCGGATACGAAAACGGATTAGCAGCCCTAGTTCGAAGTCATTTTCGAGGCCTGAATCCTTTTTTCAGATGGATTGCAGACTGCTTTTTGTTCGGTTATTGTTAGGCTAAATACCCATATTGGTATTTTAATTCCACCCTAATTTCCAACAATGTATTTTAAATAGGCAAACCCGCTTTAAGATATTTTAATTGATCCAACTAATCAATAAGACATGTTTTCTCGTCGGCGGGTAAATTTCCGACGAGATCTCGTCACGTGCATGGCACGTGATGTTTCAAAACTCATTTTTAGCAGCGACGACGGCAACAATCTCGTCATATTCATCCCAAAGTAGGATAAAATAACGGTTATGATGCCGCCTGAGATCGCTAACCCCATCGAATCGGCTAAATATGACGAGATTGTTACCGTCGCTACTGCTAAAAACGAGTTTTGAGACATCATGTGCCATGCACGTGATGAGATCTCGCCGAAAATTTGTCCGCCGACAAGAAACCATGCCTTATTGGTTAGTTGGATCAATTAAAATGTCTTAAAGCGGGTTTGCCTATTTAAAATACTTTGTTGGAAATTGGGGTGTAATTAAAATACCAATATGGGTATTTAGCCGTTATGGTTAAAATCTATATCAACACGTCAACATCTCAAGATATGCTTCATTAGACCAAAGTTCTAAGTCTTGATACACTGAAAGCAAGAGTACAAAGCTTAATCTGGTGGAGGGAGGGTAGGGGTGCTAAAGTGTATCCATATCCGGGAAAATATTCATAACCGTATACGTTAGGATACGAATATGGTTACTCAAATCTATAACCGATAGGATTTGGTTACGAATATGGTTTTATAGTGAAATATCCGGAACCATATCCGAAATATCCGTATACGTATTAGTCATATTGTTACAATGCTTTTAGCCTTTAGATCATGGATATGAGGTTAATTTTAACGATCAAGATATCTAATTTTAGTTTTTTCAGATATAATGAACATACTAATAAACTCTTTTGTATCACATGAACTATGTTTTTTTCAACAATATCTAGTTTTCTCATATCCGTTTTATATCTGCATACATATCCGCTTATATATCCGCATGTATATCCATATCCGTATTCGATTTTAGCGGATATGAATATGAATTTTCTTTACCGAGGTATATTATGAATATGAATTTTCTTTACCGAGGTATATCTGTATCCGTATTTGTATCCGAAATGAGTATGCAGATATGGATATGGTAAGCATCATACCTGAGCCATATCCGGACCGAATGCACCTATAAGGGAGGGTCGTGATTATGACGTCTCAAATTTAAACCACACCTTCCTTTCAATATAATCAAAATCAGAGTTAATTCCATAGTATTTGAGTAGAAAATATTTGAATAGAAAATTACAATATCAATATTCCTCAAGAGTCTTGACATAGTGAAAAAGATTTTAACACAGTATTAGAACAAATCATAGTTCAAACCCCATTGGCTAACTGTTGCACGAGTTAAAATTTCGATCCATAAAAAAGAACACTCAACATACTGCGGTATGTTAGATACAAAGTTTAAACCACATATTCATTACAATATAAACAAAATCAAAGTAATTCTATAATATTTAAGTAGAAAATAATGGAGTAGAAAATTACAACACTCAATCCTCATCATTCTTCAAGAGTCTTGACATGACGAAAAAGATTTTAACGTTGTATTAGAACAAAACAGAATTCCAATCTCGCTGGCTAACCGTTGCACGAGTTAAAATTTTGATCCGTAAAAAAAGGAAACTCAACATGATGTAACATGGTGAAAAAGATTTTAACGTACGCAGCTCCATTTTTCTAATAAAGGCTGCGAAATATTTTGGAGCTACGTGGTAGTTAAAGATACAACCAACCAATTATATAGACCACAGCTAATTAAAAAGCCAGTGCTTTAATATTCTAAGTAAGAAAAGAAAATAAATTTCAAAAATAAATTTGTCTTCTATATGTGTGGCACATTAGCCTTCAGGCATGCCCTCCCTCGCTAAATGTCTCGATAAAAGCTGCCAATAACCCTAAAAATAATGCTAGGGGCACACCATGAACCACACTCTCAACCACACGCCTACACTCTCTATAGTGTTAGTGGGCCATGCATGATATTTTTTTAAAAATATCATGCATGACCCACTAATACTATAGAGAGTCTTAAGGTATGGTTAAGAGTGTGAACGTGTTTCTGTGCTTTGCTCGTGGGGTCCACACCTGCACGTGAGTCTGCTTGGAGTTTAATTG